TCTTGCCACTGCTGTTATCTCTCTTCTTGTTTCTTTTCTCGTTCTTCTTGTTTCTTTTCTTTTTCCTCCAACAACTGCTGTAATTTCTCTTCTTGTTTATTTTCTTTCTTCTCCAACCACTGCTGTAGTCTCTCTTATTGTTTCTTTTCTCGTTCTTCTTGTTTCTTTTGCTGTTCTTGTATTGCTGCCATTAAATCTGCTAAGCTGTAGTTTGATTTGCTGCTTCTCGTTTCCATTTTTTTTTCGTCCCATTCTGTGACGCCAATTTGTTACACCTCCGGTCGTTAGTTAATTTTCCGTATAATTTCTTTCCGAAGAAACTTTAGCGATACAAGTCCTTTCTTATATAAAACTGGTTTATTCTTTCTGAATACAACTTTTCAATACACTTGATTTCCACAGTCGCGCTATAACAAACACAATAATTCACAACGAACATCTCACGTGCTCGACTCAACTGTCAGTTACACATTGTTGCCTCCTTGCCGTCACTTCTTGGCGGCTTACATATACAAGACTACCGCATCTCTAGTAAAAGCTCGAGACTTCACGAACCTTCGAGAATATGACGTGTTACTAGAGTCACGTGACATCTGCTGTCGTAACACTATATATATACACTCGAAAGAATCACGACTCCCTCACTACATGTGAAGAAGTCATACACCCTTCGGGGGTGAGAATCTAGTGAGGACCAAGCAACTTGCTTCATAGAGTTCTTGTTACTCAGCTGGATCAAATGAGTGATTCTCTCAACACTTCAGATGTCGTTTGGCCTCAAAAATTCACTTGATAGCTCGAAAATTAAAGAATGCAATTTCCTCTTTATCACTGATTTCTCAATCTCTTGATTATCCTAGCTTATGGTAATCAGTAAGTCTCAGCCATAACGATCAGAAAGCCGCTGTCAGTGGCTCTGCAAACTATCAGAGTTGTTATTTGCCTCTAAGTTAAGCGTTTTGTCACCTGGCTCATATTGGACAGCATCTTGTTTATTAATGTATAATATATATACATATATATTATGTGTGTTTGTTTTCTTATAACAAAGCCAGAGCTGGCTATCTGCTGTGTCCACCGAAGGGAATCGAACTCCTGATTCTAGTATTGTAAATCCGAAGACTTACCGCTGTCCTACTGGGGGACATGTATATTATTAAATTATTCTTGTTTAGCGCGTTACTGAGTGTACACCGTGAGAGGGCGTATTATCATTCTGTTAGTAGCTTATATTATACGATAGTAGTAGCGGGAAGCACAGTGTAAAATAAAATATTCGTCCATTAATTAAAAATGTACTTATAACTATAAGGTATGACTGTGAGACTGCTTGTGTTTGGTGATATGGATTTAATAAGTTAGCAAAAAACTACTTTCCCAAGGTAATGGGATAGTGTAGAAAATAAAGTTTAAATACAGAAATAGTATTTGGTCTGTTATAAGTAATCAGTATTTAATTTTAATTTAAGTTAAACAAAAACCGTTTGACATTGTTTTCTATCACAATATAAAAACTATCATGTTCAAGAAATCACTGTTTTGAACTTGGTCTTGTCAATGCATGACTTAAGGTAATGTAGGGTTATTGGAAGGTTTCCAGATTCTATATAACTTGAAAAAGCTGGGTTAGTAGGATTATTTACTAAATAAGTAAATTAGAAATAAAAAATTAAAATAAATATAATGAACACAAGACTTAATTCATTCTTAAAAAGTGAAATAGAAAACTCGTTTTCATTTGTAAGTAAGCTTTGTTTGAAATTTAAGCTGATTAGTGTCTGAACTTCAATGTACAAGGAAGATGTTTCTTTTTATCATTGATTTTGAAAAAGTAGACGTTTTTAAAAGCGATTGAGAAACATCTGAAGAATAAAGCTCCTAATCATGATATTAGAAATCTTGATCAAATTTGGCAAAGGATTGTTGAGATTCATGACGTTCAGAGAGTTTTGAATAAGTTCTTTCAAAACATGTTTATTATTAAGTTGGATTCTTATGGAATTACAGGAGAAAGTTCATGTGTAATTAGAAAATATGGAAAGAGTTCCATATGGCACCCCCACCCAAAAATTGTAGAATTGCCTGGATAAAAAAGATTCTGAAAAGGGTTTATTTTAAGGGGTGTATTAGAAAATTGGGGCATGGCTTTTTGGGGG